ATTTGTAGGAAAATGGTTATATCTCGAGACCATAATACTACATGGAGTAAATCAGAGAAAGTTAAACACCACATATTTCTCTTATATGAGAAATATAAAATATTTAAATACTTCATAAAATTAGTTAAAGAGCAAAATAAAACAGGGATGATAGGAAACAGAGGTCAACTTTGTGGAGATAGGAAAGGGATCTATGAAGGAGAGGGGAAGGTGGGGAAAAGGGGAAGTAAAAACAAGATGCAATATGTATACACACCACTTCCCCAAGATGAACGTAATTGTTATGTAATGTAAACATATACAGTGGTAGTTTCCTTCATGAACTCAACTCTCCCCATAATTCTGGTTGCAAACTGAACTGGATGAAAACTAAATTTCCCCATAAGGTCTATATTGAGCCTAACCACCACATTTGACTTGGTTCTCACCCAACTCGGTTTGCCACCAGAATTGTGGGAAAAAACTTTAAACTTGTGAACTGAGGTACCAGTAAGAACATAAAGCTGCCATGAAAAGAATCGGGCCATCTCAAGAGGAAGTGAGCTGTCCCTCAGTGAATTTCAACAGCTATGCACAATATCAAAGTAATTTGTTATTAAAACCAAAATACTTCACTTTAAGAATATATAATTAAAAATTAAGGGGGCCAGGGAGATGGCTCAGTGGAATAAGCACTTCCCTGGCAAGTGCAAGGGCCTGAGTTCAATCCTCGGTTCCACCAAAAATAAATAAATAAATAAATAAATAAGAGCAGATTCAAGTTATCTCAGATGTGGTCTTCACTTGCTTACATTCCAATATATTTTCCCAGCAGAAGAAATAAGAGAGGTCACCATGCACATGTCACGACCCTCGGGGGACACGTGGCCCATGGGAAAAATTTTGTGGTGAATTTCTGGGCCAGAAGTTGTTGGTGTTGTAAAAAGAAAAAAAACTACTTTTAAGAAATCTTTCCCTCTATGACTTCTGTTAGCAAAACACTACCTATTAAGTTTTCTTCTTTTTTTTTCTTTGCATGGTACTAGGGATTGAACTCAGGACCTTGTGCTTGCCAGGCAAGTGCTTATTCTACTGAGCTATCTCCCCAGCCCCAACTTTTCTTCTTTATATACATACGAAGCATATTAATAGGATCACAAAAGCCATAAAGTTTTAAAAGCTTAAAGGGGCTGGGAAGGGATAGATTTTATACATAACCTCAGCATCCTCTTTTTCTACATATCCGTATGTGTATATAAACATTTTTAGGTAAATAAATTCAATTATTTTTGAGAAACATTTTGCAAAAATGCTTACTATAGATTTATTATTTTTGGAGAAAAATGATAAAACACATTATGGTGAAAGAACAGAGTTCTAGTAAAATGTTTTTTACTGATTTGTCTGAGTTGTTCTGGCAAGATGGCGCAGCTGAGAAACAGTGAAGGCCACTGAACAAAGGCTGAGTGGTTGCTGATGTTCTCCATACTTGGGCAGTTACGGTTCTCACACCAAAGGAGAAATCAGATTATTGCCTGGTCCAATTTGAATATTTATATACAAAAGGAAGAAGAGGTAATCATACCTTCTTTCTTTCTCAGGGAGACACAATAAAGACACATGAATAAAAATGAACTAGCTGCGTTGTCTTCAATTTCAATTTTTTTAAATTTAATTTTTTATTTTATGTATTTAGTACAGGGTCTCACTTTGCAACTTGGACTCGTAGTGATCCTTCTGTTTTTAGCCTCCCCAGTGCTGGGATTACAGGCATATGCCACCATGCCCTGACTCAAGTTGCCTGGGGCCCGGGCCGGTGAGGCACGTGGTGCTAGGGACTGAACCCTGGTTGAAGTGCTTGCCTAAGCAAAGTGCTTAGTCCACTAAGCTATCTTGCTGGCCCCTCAATTTTAATTTAATTCTTTTGTATTCTACTCATTTCCCATCTTTTGTAGCACAGTTCACAGAATACATGCTAAATACTAAAAACTTAATTTTTACCTTAGAAATTAATAGCTAATAAACTTTTCTGAGAGGAAGATAATGGCTACAGCCTGTATCTAGTGCTCCCCAAGCCTCCTGTGCGCACAGGTGTGGCTTCTGGGAGGCGACTGACCCTAGCTGTGCAATGCTGCACCACGGATGTCACATGGCTTGGTCCACTGATGGGTTAAGCTGGACGTGACATTGGCAGGTGAAGCCTGGGGGCAGGAAGTGGTCACTGTGGGTGTGGCCTGGCAGGGTCTAGTAGGTACACAATCCTCCTCCTTGATGGCTTGCTGTTCCTTGTGTGCGACACCCCTCTGCAAATCTGCACTGCCTTGGAGTCAGCTGACTGTGGACTGAAACCTCCACAAACTGAGCACCAAATGAACCTTTCCTCCTTTACCTTGAGAGTGTTGGCTGGTGTGTCCCAGCAATGAGAAAGTGTTGCTTACCATAGGTTACATCTGTGGGCTTTGCTAGACAGCTTAGTTGTTTAAAGTGCTGCTTGGGTAAATGCAGGCAGGTGCATAGGACTGCGGTTCGATTCTCAGCTCCAGGAGCTGTACCAGACCTGCCCTTAAGGCAGCCTGAAGAAGAACCAAAAAATCTTCTACCACAGCAACCATTGGAGAAGAGTAGCCATGGCCCTTCACTATCCCATGGCTGTGGACCTCAACAAGGGTCACAAGGTGACTAGGAATGTGAGCAAACCAAGGCACAGCTACTGTTGCGGACTTCTCACCAAACACACCAAGTCTGTGCGGGACATGATCTGGGAAGTGTGCGGTTTCACACCCTACGAGGGAGCAGCGCACCATGGAGCTGCTCAAGGTCTCCAAGGGCAGGTGTGCCCTCAAGTTCATTGAGAAAAGGGTGGGGACGCACATTGGCGCCAAGAGGAAGCATGAGAGCTGAGCAAAGTGCTGGCCGCCATGAGTAAGGCAGCTGAGGCCCTCTGGAATAAAGCTTTGTAGGAAAAAACAACAAAACAAACAAACAAACAAAAAAAAAAACAAAACAAAAACTCCTTCTCATAGGTTACATCTGCTCAAATTCAAAGAGGCAGTGGGGGAGACACAGTAGCTGCATACCTTGGGACTTGTCTTTCTCTTAGGAAATATGTAAGATTTGAAGAGGAGAGCCAACTATTGGAGAGAGGAATTACTATTAGAATGGGAAGAGATTTCCTGAATGCATTTAACAAATGAAGTCATTCTGGGAGATCCTGCCTTTAAAAACTCCGTTTATGGAGAGATAGTCCCTATATATCCTCCATTCTCTAGGAAACATTTGGGTATTAAGGAGAAAGTACAAGGGTGATGGAGAGGAGATGCGATCCTGCTCTCAGAGAGCATGTGGTCTACTGGATTAGGAAATATTTCTGAGTTACACATCTTGACAAGTCCTATGAAGGGAAGAGCATGCAAGGTGACCTTGCCTCGCTTGGAGCCTGGGGAAGTGGTGTGTGAATAAAGATCTGAAGACTGTACGAATGGAAAAGCATACATGCAGACCTGTTACTGGGGAAGGATGACGCACTGTGGAAGTGGAGGGAAAAGCAGCAGGGAAAACTCTCGAGATATCCAGGGCCATCAGGCAAGGCCTGGGACAAGTGCTTGCATTTCCAGGGCTTCGATTCTCATCTCTGCCACAGACTCCTATTTTGACTGATGGTTGACTACCTACACATCAGTATTTTTTTTATCACCTGCGACTCAAACTTACTGTTTTTCACTGGACAGCTGCAGCAGTTTCCTGTCTGGTTATCCAGATCTACACCAATCTGCTCTCATTGCCAGAAACCAATGGCGCACGGCACAGACCAGAAGCAGGGAACGACCACATGGATCTCTGGAGATCCATATGGCTACGATGGCTCAGGGCCATGCATTCTTAGATCTGCATCTGATTAGTGCTGTTTTAAGTAGTAAATTTTAAAAAAGCCCCCCCACTCTTAAATATCAAGTTTTACAAATACTGTAAACCATGTAAGTTAAAAGTGAAGCATGACCGTTACATATGAAAATACATGACAGCATTATTTTGGAAAGTCCATAATTTATTCCATTTATAGTCCATAATAAAATGGATTCTTAGGAACTTTAAAAATGAGGTAGAAGTAACAATTAGACATAAAGCTCCCCAGTCTTGAAACCTGAAATATTAAATTCTAGATTTTTTGTAAGACCTCTTTCTGGAGGTTAGCATAGTTTGAAAATTATTTTCATCCAATGGAAAAAGAGGGAATTGAAAAATAGATAAGTTGATGAAGGCAGTGAGTTCTTCTCAGCTGGTTTTATTTTTCACTGAAGCTCGAATATAGGATTATATTTTCTTTACTTACAGGAAGCTGTCACTGTTCTGTTATCCAATAATGCTCAGAACAGAATGGAAAATGCTTATGCCAAGTGACACAAGCCTCAACCATTCTCTGCAGGCATCGCCATGTCAACGTACTTCTAGTCCAACAGCTTTCTCAACTCTACAGTTCTGTGAGGGAACTATGAATATTTTTAAACATTTTCCAGATTCATCATGGAGGCTGCTTTTCTTCTCTGTACTGTAATCACACTGAGCTGCAATTAAAATAAACAATCAGTAAGGAGTTACTTTTTCTATGGAAATTCTTAGATTAATACAAAGTGCAAGGCATCACAACCTCAGTGAAAATCATCCTGGAAGGCGGCCTTAGAAGAGGCCTTTTCTTTTCTTTTGGTGTTCTTTTCTAGTTTAATTTTGAGACTTTAAAGTGTCTGTGTTACATTAGACAAATTCATGGCAAATATGACATTTCATAGCTCAGAGTGATACACTCTTCCACAGATGGATGAAAAACATCTAGATAAATGTTCATTAGCAAAGTATCTAAGGCATAAGCTAATGTAAGCAAACACAATACCAGTCATTTAAAAAGTGATGACAGAACCTAAGAAGAAAAGTCAAAAAGGAAAACAATCTTTAAATATGAATTGTGATTATAATCTAAATACATGGTAAAAAAGAGGTAGCTGTACAAGGAACGCACAGCATAAAGGATGTTTTCTTTCCTTCATGCTCCTTCACTGCACAGTCCTCTCTCCTGACACAACCATGACCTTAAGTAATGTCTAGAAATATTTTAAATAAGAACACACACACACACACACACACACACACATATGTTAGAAATAATTCTATAATTCCACATTAGATCTACTTCTTTTTTTTTTTTTGTGGTACCGGAGATTGAACTCAGGACCCTGCACTTGCCAGGAAAGTACTTATTCTACTGAGCTATCTCTCCGGGCCCTAGATCTACTTCTTTTTTTATTTTTTAATTTATTTTTATTTTTGGCAGAATCGGGGATTGAACGCAGGCCCTTGCACTTGCCAGGGAAGTGCTTATTCTACTGAGCCATCTCCTTGGCCCCCTCTTTTTTATTTTCATTATTATTATTTTTTGATCTACTTCTTTTAACATCTGCAAATTAATTCCTTGCATTGATACATAATTTAACTTGTTTCCTATTGAGTATCTGCACAGTTTTCAACCATTTACAATCAGAGATACTGCTGCCATTAGTATTTTTCTATGCTTGTTGCCTTGCAAAGACTTCCAGGTGCAAGTCTGGGCCAAAGGTTATACACACGCAACAATTCTGAGTGAAGCCGCCAACCTGTGCCTACAGAGAGTGCACACACCTGGTGTCCGACAGTGCCAGGACAGTGCGCCATCGAATCTCGTGATGTGCTATGTGACAATGATATGAGATTAAAATTAAAATTCACATTGTTCTATGGAAGAGGATGAGCATTTTCATAGGCTTCAAAGCCATCTGTCTTTCCTGTTCTGTGAAAGTCCTGCTTTATCCCCTCAAGTGTTAGACTGCAGCGTTTTTATGTGTTTGGATATTAGTCTTTTGCCATATGTGCTAGAAATACTCTCCTGTTTGTCACAGGCTTTATAACTTTATTTTTTTCCGTGGGCTGAGGAGCACACCGAGGTCTTTCCGCACGCTCGTCAAGTGCGTTGTCACTGATCTGTCTCAGTCCTATGACTTTCCTCAATGTAGAAATGTGAGAGTTTATGCAGTGACATTTATTACTTTTCTCATAGCCTCCTGGTTTTGTGATTTTACACAAAAGGCTTTACCATACTGATTTTAGAAACCGTCCTGCTGTCCTAAGAGCACAGGGTGACGCTCAGCTGTGCAGAGGACCTTACTAAAGATGGAGAGTGGAGGCACAGCCAGCAGGAACAGTGCGTTCAGGGCAGGTGCGGGCAGGTGCAGGCCGCCCCGCAAGGCAGGGACCACCGCACTCCTTCAACGCCTTCCATTTCAGTAAGTGCCATGCACTCAGTAGGACATCATTTCTAACAGTAATGTCTAGTTTTAGAAGAAAATGGAAAGATGAGGATTCAGAAAAGGCAAATATACAGGTAAGAAAAATTGCATATATGGCTTACAAAGGAAGTATACCACTGGGTGTCATTTAAAATATAAAAAAACTTACTTTAGAGAATAATTTCCTTTTTGTTTATGGGGAGAATGTTAAATGATTCCCTTTCATTTTCAAATAAAAACACAATGGAGGGAGAAAACAGTTGTGGAAAAATGTGTTCCAGAAAAAAATTGTGAAGTAGCTACTGACAAAACATTTAAAACAGGATCTTGGACTGGCGAGATAGCTCAGTGGACTAAGCACCTGCTTAGGCAATCACAGGGACTGGGGTTTGATCCCTGGCACCGCATGCCGCGCGGGCCACTGAGCCTGAATGGGCGTGGTGTTGCACACCTTGTAATCCCAGTGCGGGGGAGGCTGAAAACAGGAGGATCACTAGGAGTCTGAGCTGTGTGGTGAGCCCCTGTACCAAATACATTAGAAACAAACAAACACGATGTAAAATAGGATCTCAAAAAGAATGGCAGAAACTTCCACTGGAGAGTTTAAATAACAGAAAATCATCACTAAGGGATGGTTTAGGTTTAGTTTTGTTGGAAAGGAGATTAAATTAGAGATCAATGGATTATATAAATAAGGTACTAGAGTTTACTCTTTATACTATGGAACTCCAGGTAGGTCTCCTCTCCCCTCCCCTCTCCTCCCCTCCCCTTC